TTATTTGAATATGGTAAAGCTTACAAGTGCTGTATGACAAAAGGGAGGAATGCCCTTATAGAGGACTTTCCAAGGAAAACTGGCTGGTATCCAAGTTATACGTAAGGAGACAATGGAAAACAACCATGCAGCCAGGCCATTTGCCTGGGTTCGAAACCGGTCAAAGGTCTTACCGAGAGGTTAAGACGGTCGAAACTGTATTCGACTGTCTTTAACCTCTCGAAATGCATGAATGAGTTTAATTTTAATCTGTTGTATACTTCGCAAAAAAAAGGGGGGAGGGCAGTTCTATATCTCTCGTTCTATATGGTCCAATTGACAAAATCCAAATTGCGTTTTATATGTCTCATATGGGCGACTTAGGATATGTATTAGATTTATATATAGCATTGTTCTAATATAGGTATTTTGACACAAAATTGGACTTTTTCTGAAATGGCAAGCCAATTTTTTTTTTCATATTTCAACTCTACGGCTCAAATTATGCCAAATTTCCAAGCTTCGTAAAAATCGCACGAGTAATTTTTAAAAAATTATCTCTCAAAATTTTAGCTCCTCAATGTTAATTGAATTTGGTATATATTTATTAATATCTCTTTTTTTTATTTAACTTATTTGATTCTTCCTTCCACATTTTGAAATTTAGGTTTATTCAAAATAAAATTCTCCCATTTTTTTTATTTATTTTTAAAATTTGTAATTTTAAATAATTTTGTAAATTTATGGAAAAAATTTTGAATTAAAATTTGTAAAATTATTAACACCATTTTAAAAAAGAGATGTATTTCTAAGCATACCTGCATAAAATTAGAATTTTTTATTCCAAATATCAGAAGATATGCGGCTTGTACGAAGTTAAAAAGGAAGTATTGTAATGGCGAAAAGTTTCAAGCAGCATATTTCAACGAAAATATCCATTTTGACCGCTATCGAATGCAATTTAACGATTTTGCGTGATATCTGTACGTAAGGACAGAATACAATACTCTTTTCCTCCAAAAAAGTTATAAAACTGCTTTAAAATTAATTCTGAAAAGAATTTTTCGTGACGTCTGTACGTACGTATTTCGCATAACTCAAAAACGAGTAGCCTCAGAACGTTGAAATTCTGTATATAGTACTGCTATAACATGTAGATGTGCACCTCGTATTTTGGTTGCAATCGGCCGCATCAAACGTATATAAATATATTTATATATATATATATATCCACTCTGTTACCCGGCTCAGTGATCTCTGTTTCTTTACTCTTATATGTTTGTAAATTGTACATTTTTTGCTTTAAAAATGATTGAATTATGTTGTTCTTATCTTCCGGTTAAGGTTTTTATGCCTTTAGTAAATCTCTATGCAATATTTTTTAGAATTATCAACAATTTTAAAGTTAAGACTCCTTCCCCTTTATTTTTCTTCTTTCTAGGTATTTCTTTTTCCTGATGAGGAGGGACCTTTAGCTGCCCTCGAAATCGATTGAGTGTTTCAGTATACTTACGCTAAATACAAGGTTGTTTTTACGATTTTGATTATCACATTAGCGTGTTTCTCTTCTACTCTAATTTTTAAGTTGTTTAAGTCACGCTAAGCCTAATAATTTTTTTGGTGGCGGCCATTGCTTTTTTACATTTGAAACAGCAGGATAGTGGATTTGTTGCCAATCTAGAGAAACTTAGCTTCGCAACAACAAAGATAACGCCATCATTTATTATTGCGAATTAAATCATGCTTAATCCTTTCTGGAATTTTTTCGAGAAAATAAGTGTTTAAGATTTACTTCGTAATTTTTAATACAGATATTTTGAGTTTTTATGTATTTTTGCCTTGTCGCGAAGTGAGAACTGAATTAATTGAATGAGAAATACTAAATCGTGTGTGAAAAACTGTTTCTTTTTTGTTTCGTTTGCTGAATTGCTTTTATACATCGTTCTAGATTTATTATAGTATTTGAATAGAGCGTGTGGCAACGATTAGATAATTCTTCAAATGATATAAATTTATATGCATTCTGAGTTATAATATGAACGAAATATAATATTGTTAAGTGAACCTAGCACCAGAGTGTCGCTATAGTAAACAAATAGAGTGAATTTTAAAGAATACATTTATTCTGTTGTGGTTTATGCGCTGTCGGCGAAGTAGATTTAATTCAATCCAATATGTTTAAATGAAATGCAAGAAAAAATGCGTAAAATTTAATATTCCGTACAAGGATGTCATGTGGTGTACACATCAGATTTTTTTTTCTCTGTCATGCAGAAATGTGGTAAATAATTTGATATAAATTAAGAAGTTCGGCAATTGAATTATTCTTTGCGCAAACTAAAAAAAAATGCGCCAAGATAAATTTTTAAATTTCTTTATATTATTTATTTATTTATTTATTTCTTTATTTATTATTATTATTATTTATTTTATTTATTTATTTATTTTATTCATTTCTCACAAAAAAGTTACAAAATTTAATAACTAACTAGGTAATTTGAGTCGTAGAATCGAAATATGAAAAAAAAATCGGTATGTTATTACAGAAAAAGGTCTGATTTTGTGTCAAAATACCTGTGTTAGAATATTGCTATATATAAATCTAATATATATCCTAATTCGCGCTTTCGAGACATGATAAACATAATTTGAATTTTGTCAATCGGCACAGTGGAACCGGAGAGAATCCCCCCTTCTTTTGCGCAGTGTATTTTAAATTTCGTTCAAGCTATTACTGCTATGCTCTTAAGTTCAGATAATTGCCGAAATACAAGATGTCCAGGAAATTAATAAATGATTTTGCAGAAAATACAGCTTGCAAGTTGCAAATTTAAAAAAATCAGGATTTATTCTTTCATGGTGTCTTTTTATCATCAGTTTTATCAATCGCATTTGTCAACCACAGTACTATCCTAATCACCAAAAAATTAAAGCTAACTGAAAAACGAAATTTAGGAATCTATAGAAGAATTAAATAACAGGAAGGGGAAGACTTCAGCAAATGTACCATTTAATGAAAAAATATATGGTCGAACAATTTTATTTATGAAATTTTTGATACAACTGTATGTTTTTAGGTTTGACAATACGTTTTACATTAAAGAAGTGCTCAGTTTTCATTAATATGTTTTCTAATTTTTGAATATTCATATTTTGGGAGCTAAGTAAATTATGGAGTGAATTAACATGATTTCTTTTCTGTATGTTTACTGTTTATGGTGTCTGTCTACGAGTCTGCAACTGAATTAGTCATTTATTTACTTCTTAAAAATAGTAAGTAATAATCATTACGATTAAAAAAAATCTGATGTGTACACCACATGACTTCCTTGTACGGAATATTAAATTATACGCATTTTTTTCTTGAATTTAATTTAAAATGATTGGATTGAATTAAATCTACTTCGTCGGCAGCACATAAACCACAATAGAATAAATGCGCTCTTTAAAATTCACTATATTTGTTTACTATAACGACACTCTGAATGCACAAAATTTATATCATTTGAAGAATTATCGTTGCCACATGTTCTATTCAAATACTATAATAAAGCTAAAACGATGTATGAAAGAAATTAAGCAAACAAAGCAGAAAAGAAACAGTTTTTCACAGACGATTTAGTATTTCTCATTCAATTAATTCAGTTCTCACTTCGCAACAAGGCAAAAATACATAAAAACTCAAAATATCTGCATTGAAAATTACGAAGTAAATCTTGAACACTTATTTCCTCGAAAAAATTCCAGAAAGGATTAAGCATGATTTAATTCGCAATAATAAATGAAGGCGTTATTTTTGTGTTGCGAAGCTTAGTGTCTCTAGATTGGCAACAAATCTACAATTCTGCTGTTTCAAATGCAAACAAATATGTCCGCCATGTTATTTAAAACTTAACCGCACTTAAACAGCTTTTAAATTGTTGATAATTGTACAAATATTGCTTCCAGAATTACGAAAGGCATAAAAACCTTAACCGGAAGATAAAAACAACATAATTCAATCATTTTTAATGCAAAAAATATACAATTTACAAGCATATAAGAGTAAAGAAACAGAGATCACTAAGCCGGGTAACAGAGTGGATATATGTATAAATATATTTATATACGTTTGGTGCGGCCGATTGCAACCAAAATACGAGGTGCACATCTACATGTTATAGCAGTCCTATATACAAAATTTCAACGTTCTGAAGGTACTCGTTTTTGAGTTATGCGAGGTACGTACGTACGCACGTACGTACATACGTTCGTACAGACGCCACGAAAAATTCTCTTCAGAGTTGATTTTAAAGCAGTTTTATAATTTTTTTTGGAGGAAAAGAGTCTTTTATTCTGTCCTTACGTACAGATATCATGCAAAAACATCGTTAAATTGCATTCGATGGCGTTCAAAATATATATTTTCGTTGAAATATGTTGCCTGAAACGTTTCGCGATTACAATACTTCCTTTTTACTTCGTACAAGGAAGTAAAAAACCTTAGATTAGGGCAAATTATAAATATCAAAATAAAATTTTTAATAAAATCTGCTAATCTAGGGTTTCTCTCTTTAACTGTATATTTTGCATGTTCCCTTTATTTCCGTAATTTATATGGCGTGTTCTTTTCTCTATAGATTTACTTATGTATCCCTGTTACATACATTTAAAACATTCCATGACAAACTAAAAACTTTCTCCTGGCCAATATTTTACAAGGCAGAGAAAATCTTAGTAGGAAGAAAATTGCAGTAGAATTTTCAAGTCAATTTTTTTTTATATTTTGGTATTTTTGCATTTTTATAACTGAGATAGAAATGTTAAAATATACCGAGTCTTGGATCTTTTTTCCTTATGTGTCATATAATTTAAAGGAATCTTTATGTAACATTGCAACATGAAATTCACTGAATCTTTTATTTTTATTATATTTTCAGATTTAATTTTTATCTCAAAACTTATATCATTATTAACATATGAAGCATAAAATGCGCTGTTATTCATACAGATACTTATCTGCTTATAATAAATATTTTTAGAAGATCCTGAGTTCAGCCGAAATTTTTCTCAAGTTGCTGAAAGCAAAAGATCTTCCAATCGATCTACATCTCCAAAAATAGTTCCGTGGAAACGTTCTCGGGACTTTTCAAGACTATTGAATCGTACAAAAGGAGAAAAGTTACAAGGTATGATGAAAATTAATCTAATTCTGTAATTAGTACTACTAACTTTAAACTGGTAAGTAATTCAGAACAGAGAGCTTCATTGACTGCGTGAAAATATAATGCGCAAGATAAAACTGTTTTATCTTATAAAATAAGGCGTAAGATAAAGCTGTGTTTTATCTTATAAAAAATAATGCGTAATATAAAGCTGAAATGTAATGCGTAAGATAAAGCTGTTTTTAATATGTATTAAAATATAATACGTAAGATAAAGCTGTTTTATAATATGTAATATATGAAATATTACATATTATGCTGTTTTATAATATGAAATATAATGCGTAAGATAAAGCTGTATTTTATCTTACGCATTATATTTTCATCAAATATTATCTTTTCTTAAGTTAGGAAAATGCCGGATGACCGTTTTCAATAGTGTCACCTAATAACTTAGGCTTTCGAACTGATCTTCAGCACTAGATAAATAGTACATAATACTGCTAGTCAGCTATGTTATTACGTCCAACCCCGCTCGCCTCCAAAATGACATTGCTGCTAAATTTTTGGGGTTCAGTTGACTGATTTCATTAATGTGCAGAAGAAAAGCACGGAAAAAAGAAGAAAATATTTTCCCTCATTCTGAAATTTAAAACGTAGTTTCAAATGATTTTTAAAGCATAGCCCGAATTTGCTTATAGAACCTAGCAAATCTAATTTTTTTAACAGGTAATATTTTAATGTGCTTCATGTTTCTCAATATGATTAATGATCTTGTTTGAAAATCGTTATTATTTCATAAAAACGTTTCAATCGAGTTTTCGAAATTTCTGACATTTGGGAAAAATATACAGTAAATTTAAAATTTAAATGGTTAGAAAAGATTAAAAAATAATTTTTTTTCTTCTTTCTTTCTCTCTTTTTTTTAATGTGTTTTAACTTTTTCGTTTTTAAAAACTGACTAGCTTTAAAATTAATTTAGAAGTCAAACAACAAAAATCAGCGTTATGTTTTCAAATTTTCATAGGACAAGTTTCAATGGCTTGCGCTTTTGCAGCTGAGGATGATGGCTCGGTAAAACCATCGAAACTAGTCCTCTGAAAATTTGAAAACATAACGCTGATTTTTGTTGTTTGACTTCTCATGCTAATCTCATGACTTCTCATGACTCTCATGACTCATGCTAAACACAGGTTTCAGAACTATAAGGTGAAACAGATTTTGGTTTGGTTTATTTAATTATGACAAAGCACTGGAGGGCTATCTGCCTAAGGGCAGGGATGCCTTCGTGAAGGACTCTTTTAGAGAACTTCCTCGTATACACGTTACACACGAGGAAAATCGTGAAAACGCCCATGCAGCAATCCCGTTCGCCGGGAAGCGAACCCCGGACCAAACTACCAGTGTTCAGCAATTTTGCCGCTTGGCCGCTGATGGGCCAAAGGAGGATTTGGAAAAGACGAATGCAGAATGCACGTTATTCATTCATGAGCTCACCTTAAATTTCTTTTCTCAGCGCTTAATTTCTAAACTCAGAAATACCAGAGCCCTATGGATGGACATCAGGAAAGACGAACAAAAGTAAATAAGCTAAATAACTTATAAAAAAGTAATTAATAATTAAAATTTAATAAAATCTAACAAGGTAAATAAAAACTTACTTGTTAAGTTAATGATAAATAGTTAAACAAAATAAAATAATGAATCTTAAACTTAACGTCTTATTTGGAGCTCCGGATGGAACTACGATTTCGTTCAGAAATTGAGAAATAGTGGAGTCATGATCCGGCCGAATTTAAGCCCTGAGTGTACAGAAATGTATTATTTCAGGGGGAAGAAAATGTCTTTCTTGTGCACCAATAAAAAGAAGTAAAACAATTAAAACCGTAGTAATGAGAATAGAAGGAATGCTAGAAAGAGGTATGGATATGGCAGGATATTTTAACGGAGAAGTGTAGGTTTGAAAACAAGCAGAGAAGGGTCCAACAACTTCCTGACCACGAATCCCTGCCCAGCAGAATGTGACGAGGGAAATTTTTTTCGACGAATTCAAACAGTGACCTGTAAGTTGAGAACAAATGTAAAATTTTGTACAAGTTATCTCCCCCCTTCCCCAATATTTAGTTACATCGCTCCGAAGAGTCTGCAGGTGCTCTTTTTTATATGAAACATCTAGCCTTGAACATGTCTGAGCCGTCGTTTAGTATTTCACTATGTCAACTTATTGTAACTTAGAGTGCATTTAGGAATATATATATATATATATATATTTTAAAGAAGATTCCCTGCCTGCGTTCTGTTGACGGGTAACTGAAACTGCCAATACCGAATCAGCGAATACATGACCAGGATCATCACTGGCGACTTTTCTTTCCTTACAAGTCTCAACGTCCATCCATAGGGTGTTTCCTAAATAAAGACGGGCATGCATTTGGAAGTTAAAATCGATTTTTAAGAATTACTTTATTACTAAATAAAAATTTTTCAAGATCAAAGAATTTTCTGTTGAAATTGTGTTTGTTTTACCAATATATATATATGAGGGAGTCTCTTTTACTTGAAAGTCCAGTGCGATCCGGCTAGAATTTCGTTTTATCTTAAAAATTGAGAAGCACTAGTGTCGGGCTTCGGTGGACTTCGCCACAATTTTAGGTCTGATAGTACCTGTTTTCAGGAGAGTTTATGTGCGGAGAATTTCTTCAGAGGCATCTCAAATGATTCGCATCTAGAATGAATGGAAGTGCATTGATGACAGTTCAGGCCGCATTAATCGCCAAAGTAATTGGCAATACGTAATTATTTTAAAAGACTAGCGGAGAGATTGACGCATCAGTCTTAAACTTTCTCTAAAGGACATGGTGAAAGGATCAGATTCACTCAATTGCTCATAGGGATAAACTTTTCATCCAGTTGGTGTGTATCAGGAGGGCGCTACAGCAAAATTGGGAACTGAGTGGTTTGAATAACATGAAATTGAACTCTCACATCTTTCATGTCTTGCACGATCTTATGATCTCCATATCATTAACCCATCACCATGAAGTGAAATAACCGCTGTTTTGCAAGAGGAATGGTTAAAATTATCTTTAATGGTTGCGCAAGGTTTGCATGGGCCTTTTCAAAAACTAATAGCTGTAGTATTGCCCTTCAAAAGAGGGTCTGTAACATATCAATAAAATTATTTTTATCTGGGAATGTTTCACTTTCATAGTCCAAGCCTGTATAGTACTAATATTTATAACGTGACGTTGAAATTTCCACGTATGGATGCATGTAGCAGTCTCATTGTTATGCGTAGATTCTGTAGTTGTTTACAGTTCAAATAGCAGATATTTGATTAGCAGTGTTGCCATTAAGAAGTGTAAAAATGTAATTAAAAATATATTAGCTCACTCTATTGCCGTAATAAACAATAACATATTGCATTTTGAAAGATAGAATAAAGATGCAGCATGTTTGGGAGTAACTCATCGACTTCTAGACAAAGAGTCTTTGTTCTAGAGAAATTTTATTTCTTTATTTATTTATCTTCCATGACAGAAAAATGTAATGTGATGGTCGGTTTTAAGCTAAGAGTTTTGTATAGAAATGTCATATGTAATGGAATCATTATATAATGAAAATAATTGGTGACCTAAATGAGAATGTGACTGTATGAGTGTTTCTAGCGACACGTACGTTCTCAAATAAGGTAACTGAGATACATTATTTTAAATCAATATTCTATCTGAATCTGACCTATTTGTAAAACACTCAAGTTAAAATTTGAGAGAAGTGTTTATATGAATATAGTATTAACATATTTAGATAAGCTATTAAAACTTAGAGATATTATAATTTTGCTTAGCATCATTTAAGAAACAAAAAAATATAGTGTTAATTAATAACTCATATCCAAAATATAATATTTCGGTACGTAAAAGTAATTCTGTTTGGTACCAAAATGCTCCCCATTTGCCTCATTTTTTAAAATCAAATCCCTAATCAGATCTGGGACGACGCAGTTTTTCTTATTGTTGCAGGTGCGAGATCTCAGTATTCTAACAGATTTTTGTTGATTCAGAATGTAAACTAAGAGAGATCAGGAAATATGAATGGAAATGAAACACAGAAAAGGAATAAAACTATATTTTCACTGTACTAATTATTAACTTTACCTATATGTAAATAAAAATGAGTAACTTTTAGCAGTGTGAAATAGTACGCAATATTATGGAGACCTTACAGAATATTCCAAGCATAACTTAACGAAATAGAACGGTATGAGATGATTAGAAAACCTGTAGCACGATTTCTCTTACCTGTGATGGAACATGAACAGCTGTCCTCACTTCAGAGTGCAACCTAAGACAGATTTTAAAGATTGTATCTCAAAATACGTACGTGACTGTGGGCTTCTACTTTGGTGAAGTTTAACCTGGTTACCCGGAAACCAAACGAATCTAAACAAAAGATGGCTGTCATACATGTCAAGACGGCCTTTTAATTTTTGTCGTAGAAGCAAAAAAATAAATGGTCTTAAAATTGAAGGTGAATTTCTATTTGCTGTGGTGATTCAGCATTCGTTGCAGCGGTAACCAATCACGCGTTCAATTTCGAATTTTCTGCATGCTGTAAAGACTGCATTGTGTTGAGCCATTTCCAACTTTCTGTAAACGAAAATGGAAAGTGTGCTATTTATTAGAATTATTAGCACTAGCATGTTAATTTAAGAGCGTCTGATTTCATTAAATATCGCTTTAGTGTTGTTTTGTATAAAGAAAAAGAATTAATTTTTAATTATTATCAAATGGTATCAATTCTTTCATGTCAGTCACAAATCGTAAATCACGTTAAATTTACTCCGAGGTTCCGTTAGTAGAAGTTATGGAGGAAATTTTGTAAATTTTTATCTTTCAGTCTTAAAAATTTCTGTTTTTTAAATTTATTTTTTATCTTTGCCTTAAAAGTGTTGTATTTCTTCATTCCGATGTATTCTGGCAGAATATTTATAAATTAAATGAATTAGTGAGAAGTGTTAACACTAAACATTTTTATCTCCAGCGCGCCAGAC